GCTGGTGGGGGTCCCCCCGTGGGGAGCAGGCTGCAAGAGGGGATCGTCACCGGTTGTGTGTCCCCCCACGAGCGGCCCCTCTGGGGACACTTGATTCTGGCGTATGGAAATGCAGAGACCCGATCCGATCCGCTGGGACAGGAGCAGGTGGCACGGTGACCCGGCGGGGTGTCCGCTTTCCTGCCCACCCCCTGGCCGGGGGCCAGCCAGGCTCCCGTGTGACACCTGTCCTGTGACACCTGTCCTGTGACACCTGTCCTGTGTCACCCCTGCACGTGGCTGGGGGGAGCAGCCCCAGCCCCTTCCATCACCTGCACTGAGGGTGATGCCCACGGTGAACGGGACCAGGATTCCCAGGAGCAGGTTTTCCTGCGACCAGCCCCAAGGTGGCCTTGGTGGCCTCACGTTTCTGTGTTCCAGCAGTGCTCTTGCTGGGGGACTGCTTTTGGGGCTGTGGGGTGTTTTCTTGGGGTTCCTGCCATTGCTGACTGTGTGTCTCCTGGTGTGGGGTCACAGATGGTGTTTTGGGGTGGTGGTGGTGGCTGGGTGGGACATCTGAGGGTGCTGGCACATCCCTGCCATGATGGGGTGTTTGCTCCATGCAGATGCAGTCCCTGTGCAGCCTGCCCATCGTGCGGTACCAGGAGCCAAAGGAGGAGGACGGGCTGGAGGACATGACCCAGCTGGAGTGAGTGTCCCTGTCCCCTACACTGTAACTCAGTGCTGTGGGGGACAACGGGGCTGCAGCCCTCAACCCCATACCCCTGACCCTGCTATCCCACCCCACCTGATCCCAACATGGGCTCTGCTTCAGCCTCCTGGGCCTGGAGATGCTGAGGACACTCTGGGCACAGCAGAGTCCTTCTGTCACCTCCCTGTCCCTGAGTCACCCCCTAATTCAACCTCTGCTCCACACCAGGGACCTGCAGGAGGCTGCAGTGCTGAGCAACATCCGGACACGGTTCGAGCGCCAGCTCATCTACGTAAGCTCAGGGGACACAGCATCCCCCAGGGACTGTGGGGTGGGGATTTGGGGAGTCACCCCCCTCCGAGGGCTCACAGCCCCACACGCTCTCTCTGGCAGACCTACATTGGCAGCATCCTGGTGTCGGTGAACCCCTACCGGCTCTACAACATCTACGGCAAGGAGCAGGTGCAGCAGTACGAAGGCAGAGCCCTGGGTGAAAACCCACCGTGAGTACCAGGCTGTCCCCAAACACCCTGTGGGGATGGGGTCACTGCCACCCTCCATCCCTTGCTGTGAGTACCAGGCTGTCCCCAATGCCCTGTGGGGATGGGGTCACTCCCACCCTCCATCCCTTGCTGTGAGTACCAGGCTGTCCCCAATGCCCTGTGGGGATGGGGTCACTCCCACCCTCGGCTCCTGCAGCGGACCCTGGGTCACTGGGTGCTGGAGGAGCTGTGTCTGTGCACGGGGATGCTCGGGGCACTTTGGGGGTGGCACTGGTTTAGTGTGGCACCTCCCACCCTCCTATTTCTCCCCACCCCAGGCACCTCTTTGCCATCGCGAACGTCGCCTACTCCAAAGTGATGGATGCCAAACACAACCAGTGTATCGTCATCAGGTGGGACAAGGCTGTCCCCTAATCACCACCACCCTAATTGCTGGGTCACTGCCACCAGCCTGGCTCGGCCCCATCGATTTATGGAGGTTTGGGGTGGGCACCCCTTGCCTGGTGATGCCCCCAGCCATGTCCCCACTCTGTGTTTCAGTGGGGAGAGCGGCTCAGGGAAGACCGAAGCCACCAAGCTGATCCTGAGCTACCTGGCAGCCGTCAGCCAGAAACGCAGTGCTGCCCCACAGGTAGGGAGGGTGCTGCCCTGGGGACATCCCTGAGTCCCCATGTCCCCATTGTCCTCTCACAGCTCCATCCCTCTGTTCCATCCCTCCCTTCTCACGGCTCTGCTGCTCTCTCCTTGCCCCAACGCTTCTACCTGGACCACGGCAGATGGAGGTACCGAGGGGACACGTGGGCTGGGAAATCGTGGTGGCAGAGAATCGTGGTGGCACCCATGGGGAAAGGGGGGAGGGACAGCAGGAAATCAGCGCATGCACACAGATGGAGTCTTTGTGCTCTCTCACAGCCTCATTTAACCTGGCTGTGGTGCACACCTCGAATTTGGGCACCCTCGGGTGGGTGCGTGGAGCATGGGGTGGCAGGGAGGGTGGCAGGGTGCCAAAGGGGGGCCCTAACTGTGGAGATGCCCCCGGGTGCCCAGGCTCACCCCCCAGCTCTCCCCCTCACCACGGCAGATCCTGGAGGCAACCCCTCTGCTGGAATCCTTCGGCAACGCCAAAACCGTGAGGAATGACAATTCCAGCAGGTTTGGGAAATTTGTGGAAATCTTCCTGGAGGAGTAAGTAATGCTGAGTGACCTGTGAGTGGCTGCTCCCACCCCGTGTCCCCTGCTGCCCCAGGGGTGTCCAGCCCAAGCCAGCCCCTTGTCCCTTGGCTCTGGGAGGACACATAGGGATGGTTTTGGGACAAACCTGGTGTTGGAAAGGTGGTGGCACCTGGGGACAGGTGGCTGGGGTAGGGGTAGGGATGCTGTGACCTGGCTGCCACCTTTACCATTCCCAGTCCCCATTCCTGTCCTCATATCCCATCCCATCCTCTCTTGGCCCCACTGATCCTGACAGGGGGTGCCTGATATCACAGCCAGGCGCAGACACCTCTCCCTGCCCACCCATCCCTGCTGGGGGGATCTGGGGAGCAGCACTGACTGCCCCATTTTGTTGGGGGACATTGGGTGGGTGTGCTGGGGGGCCCCAGCCCTGCCCACACCGNTCCACCCACGGCACAGCCACCGGGGCTGCCCCGGGCCGTGGCCCTGCGCGAGGTGGCTTTTCCTGCCTCACCCACGTGGCTGGAGACATTCAGGACTGACCCAACCAAAGGATGCTCTGGGTATCTTCTAGCACAGCCTTGGTACCAACTGGCACCACAGAGAGCCCTCACTGGCAGGTTTTGCAGCCAGGGTCCCTCCTGCTTGCTGCTGCTGATGCAGCCCTGCCCAGACACCCAGAAACAGCCACCAAGGGTGGGTGCCCCTCTGACCCCCCTGGTTTGCTTCCATCCCACTGCACCTGGGCACAAAAACCTCTTGGGCAGCTCTGCCGTGCCAAAGGCAGGTAAACCAGGACAAAGAACATGGGGAGGTGTTTTGGGGTCTGGTATGGCGGCTGGGACCATGGGAGGCAGCATCTGTGTGGGGTGAAGCCCCTCTCTCTCCCTTTATTCCCCCTCTCAGAGAGCCCTTGCCATGCCCATGGGAGGCACCACGGGCACAGCCATGGCAACAGCACGGGAGCTGTGCCAGGGCACTGAGGGCACTGCCAGGGCCACCGTGCCTGGGGGGACAGGGGTAGGGACTGTGGAGGGCGGTGGGGTGGTGACAAGGACTGTGCTGGGATGCAGGGAGTGACCCATAGCAGCTTTTTACCAGCAAGGTACCCCTTTGCTTTGAGAGTGAATGGCTGTGTCCCTGCCCGAGGTGGCTCCTGCCACATTGTGGTGCCCATGCCAGGAGGAGGGGGTGGCATGGTGCTGTGTGGCAGGTGCCTGTGCGCCTGGCAGGGCAGGCTCTGTCAGCCCCATATGGCTCAGTGGCCGTGGCAGAGCTGTGGACTGTGACAGTGCCAGGTAGGGGTCCTGCTGACCCTGTGTGTCTGTCACAGACCCTGTCCTGGTGCCCACCAGGTGCCCCTCATCCCACTCTGCCCACCCTGCACTCCAGAGCTGCCTCCACCTGTGCAGACCAGGATGTGTCTATCACAGAAATTAATGCAGGGAGTAAGCAAAGCCCCATAGGACCATGGTGAATGTGGTAGAAGTGGCACAGAGGGACAAGGTTGGGGACAACACAATGCCAGGAGGTGCCAGCCTTGGGCTCTTCTGATCCTGGGGGAGACCAATGGGTTCAGTCCAGCACCTGCTGCTGGACGCTTCTGTCTCCCCAAACACATCCCCTGTAAGGGGGTGCAGCTGCCCCTGCCCACAGGTGATCCATGTGGGACAGCGAGTTCCCTCTGCTGCTGCTTAAACTTTGATGAGCTGCAGGAATCCAGGCCTGGCATTAACATTTGATGTGGTCACCCTGCTCCCGGGCACGTGTGTGTGCAAACACGCTGCTGGCACTGCCATGGCCACACGTGTGGCACATGCAGCCCCTCCTGCCAGCTGTGTGTGGGCACGTGTGGCACCCTGCCCATACCTGCCACCTGGCATGGCACAAGGAGTGCCCCTGCAGCTCTGGGCTCTTCATCAGTGCTTCCCAGCAGGGCTGTGGAATTTGGTTTGGTGTTGGGCTCCCCTTGGGTGTGTTCCCGGTGCTGCCTTGGGCTCTGCAGAATTGTCACCTCTCTCTCGGTGCCGCCGTTTGCCTTCACGGATCCCTTCATGGATCCCGGGGCTCCATCCTCTCAGTGCTGCTCGGAGGAAGGGGCTGATACCTCAGGGAGGGGCAGAGGAAGCCCCGAGGCGTGGGGAGGTGCCACGGTCCCGTTTTGGGGTAACGGCGCTGCCCCTGCAGCGCTCCCTTGGGAGGATGCTCCCAGCAGCAAGGACCCTTCCCTGCTCCTTCGGAAAAGTCTC